AGTGACTGCTATCCGACTCAGACACAGGTTCAGACTCAGTGACCCGCCGGGAACCGAAGCGGGTGAATGGCTTGAGGAAAACCTCCGAACCTCCACCGAGGCGTAGTTGCCAGTCGCTGATGATTGATCACCTAATTCTCGAATGGGGCTAGGGAGCAGGGTGAGGGTTCAGCCGGCAGATACCTGGTAGATGATGACCGAAACACTTCGGATCAATGGCAACGACGTTGTTGGTGCTGGTGTGTCCCGGTTTCGTTTCTTTTTCTTTTTTTTTCTCTTGGTGTCCGGACTCCGGAATTCGGAAAGGAGGAAGGACTGTGAGGACAAGGAGTAAGGAGTTGGGTTGGGGACTCCAAGTTGGAGGAGAGAAGATGGCTGCCTGGGAAGCTGCCGATTGGAAGTCCTGCAATTTTCGGACCGGCAACTGTGTGCCTCCTGCCGAGTAAAATGGCTGATTTGGGGAAGGTACATGACTCTGCCGCGCGCCTTCCTCCCAGATCATCACTCAGTCTCCAATTGATTCATCCATCGAGTTCCAGGAATGCCTTGCTCTTGCCGTCTGAGTGCAGTCAGTCTATCAAAGAGCAGCTTTGAACCTTCCTTATTCAGAGACGTTTGGCCAACTTGGGGTTGATAGGCTCACCGCCTCAAAACCCGGTTAAATCAATGCCCCAGCGAGACCGGTGCAGATTATGCTTCAATCGGGTGCACGGTACCTATCATTCAATCGGACAGGCCCCACATCACCGTTTGACGTTCGCTACCCCTGTCGATGGAGCACCTTGTCCCCCACACCATTGACTTTGACACTTTGCTCTTTTTTTTCTCCAATCACTGAACCACTCCAGGCACTTGGTCGCACTGCATCCAATTCTGCAACTTTGCGAGTCTGCGAACAACCTGATGAACCGAACCTCTAGTTTGCAGATTGCAAGGAGGATTCTCACAGAAGGCTGACTGCGCCAACGAACCGTTCGCCAGAGAAGACGACATCCATCCCTCAACTAGCTCAACCTAGTAGTACCATAGTCATCCAGCTCAAGCTGTGCTGTTCTGTGCTTCAGTCAAACAGTGGAGGGCGCGGGATTCCGGACATCCAAGACATGTCCCTCCTCCCTCCCTCTCTCAGCTTACACAGTATCGAGCCGATAGATCTACTAGCGAATGATGCATATCTGCCATCCTGGCCGATACAGCAAATTTCGTTGAGCTCGAGCTCCTCCCGAGAAAGGCCCTATTCTCTTCTCTCTTGACTGTCTAATTTGCCCGACATGTCTCCAGCGTCGCTCTCGCTTGTGCTTTGAGGGACGAACTGATGGGGCCTCTGTGATATTTATCAAACACCTACAGGACGAAACAAGAAGCTCACTGGTCAAGACAAGAGCTCGATCCATTAAGACCCATGGCAAGGCAGCTTTCTTGCATGCAAAATGTCCACCTCGTCACGACATACATATCTCGAACATCTCCGCTTGTCCAGCTACCACGACGCCAAGAAGGCTTGATCCCCCAGTACCATACCCCCCAACGGGCAAGGCGCCCTATGCAGCCACAGCAACTACCTTACAGGTCTGACCGCAGACACGCATTCGAAGCGGCGTTGCCATTTTGCCGACCCTGTCTCACCGGCCCTGTCCTTCAACCCCGGTCACCGACCGTCCCACGGCTAGCAGCCGACATGCGTAACCAAGATTTGCACTTTGAGGTCGAGGTGACAGCTCGACCTTGACGGTCTCTTGAACGAGCACTTCGGACCCAGACCGAGACCGGGGGCCTGAATCTGGACTGTATCAGTCCTCAGTGCCGGCTGATTCCCCAACTTTCGCCCTTCTGCCCAAAACCAGAACCATTGAACCGAACTCGGTTATCCTAGTGTTTTTGCTAGTTTCAACGGTTGACACTAAAAAGAGCCCAGAGGAGATGAACTCCGCCCAAGACCTCACAGAACAGGCTCCTCTTTGTCTCGACGACTCACCACTTCCCTCCTTCACCTAACCCATAAGGACGACAGCCCAAGACATGGTCGAACTGAGTATCACTACTAAAAGGCCATGACCTCAAGTCGAATCATATCAACACATTCAACCGCCGTCCTCTACTTGTCAGACCGGCCAAACGCCATGTCTCGGAATCCGGGCCTCTCCTGACGTTATCGAAATGCGAGCGGGCGAAATGCACGACCGTAATCCGAACTGGTTCGAACAGGTTGGGTCATTGGCCTCATGAGCCAACATCAGTTTGTAGGCTTGCATACCGGTGTTGAAGAAAAAAATGCTTGGCAACGAACAGGCGTAGAGCTGAAACAAGACTCTGGTCAAGGCCAGCTCGGTCCTGCCGAATCATGCTTGGCCATCCTAACCGGCCAGTTCGTGCTATGCCCTGGAGCCTATACCATACAGCGCTCGTGAGGCCGCTAACGCTACAAATCCCCCTGTACTTGCATTCGGGTCTCAACGTCGCCGGCGATGCTCTCTCGCTTTGACCTCTTGGAAGATTCTTCAGACCTTCGAAAACGCCAATCAATCCGCCAGCCTCGCACTTCACACACGCTAACACGGAACTTGGACCGTAGCCACCGAGAGCTTCTCGAAACTGAATGCGTGTATTGGTCATGCATCGACGATAAGACTTGGCGATTCCTGAGAAGAAAGCCGTGAGAACGGATGTCGAAACTATTGACTGGCAATTACACGGCAGCAATGCACGCGCAAACCGTGTCTGGATGAACCACCATGGTAGATGTGAGGTCCTTTGCACAGCTATCCTCCGTAGCTACCCTTACCTGGCAGTTCTCGGTGCCGTTCCCGCATTACCTTTGGTAGTAACCTGCCATCTTCATCGACGCCACCATGTGCGTGTTCCTGAATATCGCCCATCGGGTGTGCCACTACCCACTGATGAACTTGCTCAAGATTTTACAACTCGAGCCCCGAAAAAGTCCTCTCTCTGCCTGAGATCAAAGGATCTCTGGTCGTTTGTGCGGCGGAAGTCGGGACTCGGGACTCGGGACTCCGGGAGCGCTGCGGAAACAACCAAGCTTCATCACGGACATGTCAAACGCCCCGGGCGTCATTTCCGTCAGGGCATAGATGGTTTCCAAGCACAGAAAATTGCGGTGTCGGAAATCCTCACCTCATGTTGAGCCATGAGGGAAGCCTTGGAAACATGTCCTTTAATGCATGCAGAGATGGCATGGTGAAGGCACCGCACGGACGCTAACAAAGTCCAAAATAGGTCAGGGCAGCAATGCTTTGTATCATGCACACTGCCAGGAACAAATGAAGCCTCTTCTTTCAGCTTGGACGTTGAATAAATTGAATCAGCTCGTCGGTCGATTTGGTGCCGTTCAAATATTCAGGAGATTGAGACGCCGAGATTTTGGAACCTTTTTGGTGGAGAGGGCTTCATCATTGTTCACCTTTGCCTCTACAGCGCTCACTTGGTAGGTATCTGTTTACGTACAAACTCCTTAGGTGAACTTGTTAAGGTGGGTGACCAACCGCTTTTGGTACGGGATAGTTACATTTACATTTATCCAGAATTATCTCTCTGGTCTTGGCACAGGCTCAAGTACCAAGTACACGCCTCGTACCCTTTGCGCAAGTGAATCCCCTCACTTTCTCAGATCGGAATGTACAGGGTACATCTGAAACGAGTGGCAGAGCAAGACAGAGGATCGTTCCTGAGAGGTGTTGCCCTTCAGGAGTACCGTTTCCTTCATAGTGGAGAACTTTCCCGTCCATCCCATCTCTGACCCATGCCATGCATGGCTTTCTACCACCCACCACAACTACTTTGCAGTAGTTTCTTTGCTGAAAACGTGCAAAACATGTTCAGCAGCAGGGCCTCTTCTTCATCTGACCCCGTAGGTTGCTCCTCAACGCTTGGAAAGACACTGGCTGGAATCAGGTCCTTGTCTATGTTCCCGCTGCAGACCTGACTACTAAGGTAGTTAGCACCCCGTGGCCTATCACGATCTCTCACTTTAAAGAGGCAAGCAAGCTAAAGCAGAGCAAATCCTGCTTGAGGGTTACCAGTGGGTTCAAGTCGGCGAACGGATCCTGTCAATCTCTCTTGTTTCCTAGGAAAGGAAAGACACGGAGAATCAAGAGGCAAGAGACAAACGGGGCTAAGCGGTTCCTGTCAAATCACCAGTTGCAATACCACGCAGCTATTATTATACGAGGCCACTACATATACAGTATTGGGATTTTATATTGAGGTGTTGAACTGACCTGACAAAACAGAGGGGGAAGAGAAACGTTGACAGACCCCGGTCCATGATATCCCGGCCGACCCCGGCCCTGCCTTGCGCTTGGCACATCCTCCCCCGTCATGTCTGTAGGGATGCTTGATGCGGAAGTGGTCTATGGCAGCCTGGACTGGACTGGAGAAAGACTGCTCGACTGTACACACCCTCCTTACCCTCTTCCTCCTCGTTAAAGGACCAGACCGATTTAAGGCACTTGACTGACACTGGCCAGGCTTGGAAACACCCCGGTACCTAGTCACCCTGTATCCAGACGACATCCTCGTTGTCAATCATATATCGGTGTCCGCTCATCTTGCTACCCTGCCTACATTAATATCATACATCCCATCCTCTTGTTTATAGATGACCACACGGACTCATCTTAGCTGAAGGATCCTACTGTTTACCACTCTTGTTATTCACATCAAGTTATTGTTCCTCTTCCTTTCATATCCAACCCGCATCCTCTAGGACTTGGAAAACAGATAAACTCAGCTCCTCCTCACCAGCATCGCCACTCGGTTGAAAAGGTCTTGGAAGACGGCAGCTTCGACTTGCTTCTTCTCGGTGACGACAGGACAACAGTACCACAACCAAGTTCAGTTGCAGCTTCCGTGGTTCGACGTTACCTTTGTCTGATCAGAATATTATTGGGAAGGCACGATTCGCTACCAGAAGGTGGACTCTTCGACCCAGTTTTCTCCTCACCCCACCATTTTCTTCGACAACTTACCTCCACGACATAGTGATGGCAACATCATCGCCGCCGTCCATGGACGGCATGTCACCCGTTTATGAACTCAAGATCCGTCAACAGCCCAAGAATGCGCGAGTAGCCATCGGGAAAGAAAAAGGTGAGACCAGAGCAGCACCTCCAGCGCAGACACTGGGGCGATTCGGACACCACCATGACAAGACAATACTAACAAGACTCCAACATCAAAGCAGACAGAAAGCCTATCGATCCCCCTCCCATCATCCAGCTCGATATCCACCCTATGCGCCATCAAATACACAACCCTTACCTGATCCTCGTCTGCAAACTCGTCGCCCCAGGTAGTACCGAGAACGACGATGCCAACCACCAGCAACCTGAACCCAAGGAGAACGACCTGACCGGCTCCCTTTGCTCGTCTCCATACGTTCTCAAGGACACCAACAATGCCCAAGGCCTCTTCTTCATCTTCCAGGACGTCTCAGTACGCCGCGAAGGTACCTATCGTCTCGAGTTCAACCTCTTCGAGCTCAAGCCTTTGACCAGGGAATGCATCGCCCTAGCCAGAACCACCTCCGAGAAGTTCGTCGTGTTCCCTCACCGGTACTTCCCCGGAATGGCCGAGAGCACCTTCTTGACAAGGTCGTTCAGCGATCAAGGCGTGCGCATCCGACTACGCAAGGATAGCCGAAGCGTCAGCACGCGCAAGAGAGGTGCCAGCGCTTTGGGGGTCGGAGCAGGCAGCGGTGGTGTCGTAGGGCGTCTGAGGGCCGGCTCGACGATAGGTCTAGGCGGACAACAATACTCGCCCATCACCATCTCCCACCACTCCCAGTCCCACGGCAGCGGCGGTAGCCACGATGAGCTCTCACCAACCAGCACCAGCCCAATGCACCGCATCAACACCACCCTAGCCGGTCATCACCACCATGACCTCATCCCAGGCATCGGCCACTTGGACCGTGGTCATCATCGCGGCTCACTAGCCTCCCAGACATCTTCAAGCCTGCTCGACTCTCCCTCAAATACCATGCTCACCTCCCCCACCGTCACAGGCGTAGGCGGCTTTGGCGCCTCCACGGCCACAACAATGGGTGGTAGCGGCAACTACTCCTTCACCGGCGTCGCCGCGGCGCAGCAGTACTCCTACCCTGGCGCAGCCCTCAGTCTGACCACTGGCACCACCGCTGATGATCGGTACTACGATTACAACAGAGCTGGTAAGCGGCCTAGGTTATTGCACGGTGTAGATGATCCGCTCGACCATTCCTATGGGAGAGATCCTTACGGACGGGATCCCTACGACCATCATCATCGGGTGGTCGGAAGCGTGACTCTACCGCCCCATACTCAAGGGTATGCGACGATGGATGCTGCACATGGGTATCACAGTCGGCATCATGATTATTATGGGGCGACGGCTGCGGGGGCTTACTTTGGGTCGGGGATGTGACTTGCCATTCGCGAGATTGTCGGCGTTGAAGGTTGATCTGGCTGCTGAAGGTGAATTGTTGGTAAGTAGTTCGCTCTTTTCCCCTGGGTTCTGGTGAATTTGTAACTAACTCCTTGGTACAAAAGCAGGTAGGTACCATTCGCTTGTTGATCTACATACACACCTTCTGCTCTCACGGCCCCTTTTCAATTTTTCCTTCTTTTTCCCGAACACGAATAAGAACACGATACCGCTCGCGCACAGCATGTTGCAGATACCAAGCTTTGTAATTGCTGCTTTTGTTCTTCCTCTTTGCCTTTCCTTCTACTTCGCGTTGCTTTCTCTTTCCTGCCTACCCCTTGCTTTATTCCCCTTGTCCTCCATCTTGCTTTCACATCTCATGCTTTACTTGCTCGTTGGTCGGTTCTGGAAAACGGCGTCGATGGTTGTTGTCTCCTACTATGACTTCGGTGGAGGCGGCTGGCAACGGGTGCCCTCTGTTGTTTCTTCTGGAATTGTCTGGTTGCTCTGGTTGCTCTGGTTGCGTATGGTGGTCACCGGCCGGTGGTGGGAACGATACCCCTTTTCCTTGAATTACTCACTCACACACTCTCTCTCAACTCCTGGTTGTCCCTGTCTGGCTGGTTATTCATTTGGTTTGAATTTTGTTCTGAAAGGCAAAAAGAATGATGGATGTGCAAACACGCTGAATTTGAAAAAGTTATTGGGAACTTGCTTTGGTGATGGGAGGATATCTGATATTTTTTGGGTTCGGAAGTTGTATGGACATCAGGATATTAGGACACAGGAGGACATAGGCAAGGACATAGCACAGATACATAGTAGCTGGAACAGAATGGAAGATTCACATCTTGCAGGTAGCGAGTGGGGAATGTATTTGGTGAACAGTGAAGAGATTTCCATTGAAATGGTTTCTTTCCACTGCCACCCTTTTCAGAAGCACCGCATCTGCTACTGTATGTAGCTACCTTTAGAGTCTAGCTAGCTGAGAGCAGAGCAGCACACCCACTCAGTTGACTAACTAAACCCACCACCAAAATTGTCTTGTCATGGATACCCCACGATATCATTACTGTAATGATGCACAAGTCAGCGAACCATTCTAACACATGGAACCACAAGCAGGGTATACTAACATGCATCGCAGCCGTCAATCGTAGCCTCGTAGCTGTCCATGATCGACCCTTTCAAAACCCATCGCTGCTACGTCACCAAGCCCAGATGTCTTCATGGTACTGGCTTCACAGCTCCATAAGGTAGGTAGGTACTGTAAGATTACGTTAGAGGCAAAGGACGGAGTTATCTTCCTGCAAGTTAGGCCGGGAAGGATTTAAAAACAGCAAGGTCGACGACAGGAGAAGGAAAGGTTACTGAGTGGTCTACAGGAGACATAACCTCAGTTCAACTCAGTTCGAAGTGCGGAGAGCGGAGTCCGGACCCGAGGACAACGCCTTGGTTGCAGGGGTGTACATGGAATATTGAGCGGCGCGCGGCGGCTACTGGCCTGGCCTGACCGGTCTCTGGTTCTCTCATCTCTGGTTGGTGCCTTCTGCTTTTATCATGATAATCAATCTGGGTTCCCACCTTGGAGACATGTGGTTTTTTGAGCATTACCTGGGGCACTACCTTGTGTAACTCGCGCCCGTGGATGCTGGGGATGATAGGTATGGTATTGGGTTTTGGAGATGGATACTGGAAAACCCTGAGGGGTGGGAACGTTGGAGGATCTAGGGTTACTGGGCATCTCAAGATGCTGGCGATACTGGGAGTGGAGGATGTTGTTGAAGTCTTAATGAAGTCTGAAGTCTGGATGAAAGTCCGAAGGGTCAACTGTGCCACCAGTTGAGATATCCTACTTTATTAACCCAGAAGACGACTCTAGCCACGAGTGGTCGAGATCTAATCTTTTGAAAAACCAAGGTAAGGAAAAACTTAAAAAAAACTAAACAAAATTCCATGGATCAGGATTATACATACTTCCGCAGCTGGGCAGGGCTAGAGTAGCTACGCTACTTCTTCTTCTTCTCTCCCTTTCCGGCACCAGCACCCTTCTTCTCAGCCTCAGCCTTAGCCCTCTCCTCATCCCTAGCCTTAGCAGCGCTCAACTCAGTCAACAGCTTAGCAGGGTTCGCAGACATGGAGCCTGAGCCTCTGGAAGTTCCCGGAGGGTAGTAGGGAGTAGGCGGGCGCTTGGAAAACTCGTCGAAGGAGGACTTGGTTTTGTCGAAGTAAGACTTGGGCAGGATGAAGAGGGGCTTGGGTTTCTTGGAGTTGGGAGACATCTTGATTGCTGGTTGAGTTTCAGTCGAGTGTTGAGGACGTTGATTTGGTTCGCTTGTGCTTGGGCGGTGGCTGCTGATCTCAGTGAGCGATTCGGTGATCAGTGATCAGTGACCGGTAGTGTTGGAGTGACTGCTGGCGATTGGCGTTGTGAAAATGATGCCGGCAGTCAGGTTTAGAAAAGCGGAATGGATGGGAGTAGGATGAGGTAGAGAGGTGCGCACAAACAGAGTATTTGTACCAATTTTTTTTAGGTTTTTTTTTCTTAGTTTTTTTTTGGACGAACATTCTTACTGCTTATTTTGGGCAGGTAGGTGAATAGCAATAATAGGAATCCATTGGAGTGGATTAAGTGTCTGATAAGTTATAGATCGAATTCTGTTGACAAAGGCTATGTTGTGAAGTTGCGAACTGGGGATGACAGCAAAGGGGTGATGGGCTGGAGTGGAGCGTTCGCGAAGGGTCTTTTGACTTTTTATTGAATTGGCGCTGGCTTGGCTAACCGCATCGGTTGCTTGCTATTGTCCTCTATTCGACGCGATGGACTTCGTCGGTGGAAGTGTCGTAGAAGTGTTTTGGGATTTCATCCGAACGTTACCAAGGTGGGCCATCAAGGTACCTTACCTGCGATATGAAACATATCCGTCCTATTTTATTTTTTATTTTTTGGACAATAGAAAGTCTGTGCTTTATCAATAGAAGCATACCGGCAATTTTGATTTGGTGTTGATCGCCTGAGAGTTTTCCGCATCGAAGAGCTACTGACAAGTGTCGACCATGGTTCACCAGAATGAAGCCATCTTCAACTCCAACTCCAACCTCGTGCATTGCATTGGGGTAAACCCCAAGAATGTACTCCTCATGATCGACGCTCGACAGCCTAAAACTCGGCACATTTTACCCCGGATCATCAGCTAGTGACTTTACCCGACATTGCTCGAGTGGGAAATACGACGTTGAACCTTCTCTCGTCTCCTCATTTTCGGCGGGGTGAGTGTTTACCCCGGATATTTTTTCTGGTCTTGTCGTCATAGTTCAACACAACTTAATCTATGGTTAGCATATTTAATCCGAGCAGGAGCCTCCCTCTCAGACTCACCACCAGGCTCTCTCTGCAGATCCACACTCGTGGCCTAGCTCCCTCAAGAACCATGATATTCCTCCCAACCACTCTCCTCGCCCTCGCCTCATGTGCCCTCCTCCCCACAGCCCTAGCATCGTCTCCTTGGGGACACCCTACCTCTAACCGCAACTCAACAATCCACAACCCCATCCTCCCCGGCTTCCACCCCGACCCCTCCTGCATCTTCATCCCCGACGGCGTCCACGCCCAAACCTTCCTCTGCGCCTCCTCCTCCTTCAACGCCTTCCCCGGAATCCCCCTCCACGCCAGCGTCGACCTGCAGAACTGGAAACTCATCGGGCACGTGTTGAACCGACCCTCACAGCTTCCCAGACTCGCCGAAACAAATCGAAGCACCAGTGGCATCTGGGCGCCGACACTTCGGTACCACGACAAGACGTTTTGGCTGGTGACGACGCTGGTGGACGATGATAGGCCGAAGGAGGATAGTTCGCGATGGGATAATGTGATTTTCAAGGCCAAGGACCCGTGGGATCCGATGAGTTGGAGCAAGGCAGTGCATTTTGAATTTGAGGGGTATGATACGGAGCCGTTCTGGGATGCGGATGGGAAGACGTATATTAATGGGGCTCATGCTTGGCAGGTTGGGTGAGTTCCTCCTTCCCCTTCGAGTCGATGTTTCGGTAAGGAGGGTTTGAGCGTAGACAGGGACTGAACTGACATGGTGATATAAGGAGAATAGGCCGGCGATTCAACAAGCTGAGGTGAACCTAGAGACGGGAGAAGTGGGTGAGTGGAAGACGATCTGGAACGGAACGGGCGGGATGGCGCCCGAGGGACCGCATATTTATCGGAGAGATGGGTGGTATTACTTGCTTGCTGCTGAGGGTGAGTTCATCACGATGTACGGGGGAAGAGAAGAAGAAAGCTGACAAGAAACAGGAGGTACGGGTGTTGACCACATGGTCACCATGGCCCGATCGAGGAGTGTCCATGGCCCGTTCGAAGCCAACCCTGCGAATCCGGTGTTGACTAACGCCAACACTACCAGTCTGTGTAAGTCTCTTTATCTCCCCATATCATCTCCCATTTCACCATGCTGACACTCGTGGGTGCAGTCCAAACAGTAGGCCATGCAGACCTCTTCGCCGACGCCTCCGGCAACTACTGGGGCGTAGCCCTCTCCACCCGCTCTGGTCCTTCCTACCTGAACTACCCCATGGGCCGGGAAACCGTCTTAACCCCGGTCTCCTGGCCCTCCGGCTCTGACTTTCCCATCTGGTCTCCCATCAGCGGGACCACATCCAGCTGGCCTCTTCCCAACCCCAGTCCAAAGAACAAGAAAATCCCTGACGGCCCCATGTCAGGCCCCTACATCACTGAAGATGACCACACCACCACTTTCTCCAATAAGCCAGGGCTTCCAGCGCACTTCACCCACTGGCGATTTCCCAACCCGTTGCACTACGCTGTCTCGCCGCCTGAGAAGAAAGGAACACTGAAACTGAACCCATCAAAGCTGAACTTGACAGGACTAGAAAACGGGAATTACGCTGGAGCACAAGGTCAGAGCTTTGTAGGACGACGACAGCAGGATACGCTATTCCGGTACGCCATCGACATCGATTTTGTCCCCGAAAAGGAAGGAGACGAAGCGGGCGTGAGCGTGTTTTTGACGCAGAACCATCACTTGGATCTTGGGGTGGTGCTGCTTCCTGCTGGGTCAGCTACTACCTCTACCGAGTCAACGTTTCCGGGACATAACTCTTCCTCAACTGAGGAAAAAGGGGGGTTGGTGCCACATGTTAGGTTCCGCGGGATATCGTATATCCCCGTTCCTGAACCGGTGGTTGTTGCTCTGCCTGAGTACTGGGTGGGCGGTAGCTTGACGCTGGAGATCAAGGCGATCAACTTTACGCATTATGCGTTTTCGGTTGGACCGGCGGGACGCAGGTCGGAGATGCAGACGGTTGTGACGGCTTCGAATGCTGCCGTTAGTTGGGGGTTTACGGGGACGATATTGGGCGTTTATTGTACGAGTAATGGGCGGAGGGAGAATGGGGTGGGGGCACCGGTTTATGTGAGGAAGTGGGTGTATGAGGGTGAGGGGCAGTTCAGGGATTAGGATCTGATAGAAAGTAGGAAATGTTGGATGTGGAATGTGGAATGTGGTTCATGACGGTTGTTGTCTTCGGGGTGATCATGTGGTAAACAGTGAAAGAGATGATGTTTGGGAAAAAGAAGATGATGTTGTCCAGTGGGCGAAAAGATAGCGGGTGATCCTTAACAATTTCCGCTAAAGAGTGGGTCCTTCCTGACCAACGCGCCTAAAAGCGCTTGGTGCCCGCCGCCCCAGCAGCCTTGCAGCCCTGACAGTTCAGCCGCACGGCCCCCACTGAACCGCTGCGGCGGGTCAAATCCAGCGGCTGCAGGGGCAACTTCAGGGCAACATCAAACGTCAACGAAGCTGTCGTCATTTTCCCTTTCTCAACTTCCGTTCTTCAAACATTTTCTTGATCTACCGCGAATCATCTCAACAATCACGCGCGTGCTACCGGGCACTCACCCACTGCCAATAAGCACACCATCTAATCAGGTTGATTTCCTGACGAGCCAAATATACTTCCGGTACTATAACCACCTACGCCTGGACTTCACCACCACCAGTCCATCAGCCATCCAACCATCCATCCATTTCCGTCCCGATCCAGCAACCGAACAACCACCACCTCAAACACCACCGGCCCGCGGCCACCCAACCTTCAAAATGCAAGGTTTCAACATGGGCAAATACGTCCCTCCAGACGCCGAAGGCGTCTACTCGGGTAACCAGCTCAGCAAAAAGCACCTCTCGGTCAACGCGGCCTCCAAGCTCGCTTCCCAAGGAATCCTAACCGTGCGCTTCGAGCTTCCCTTCGCCGTCTGGTGCGACACCTGCCAGCCTCACCCTGTCATCATCGGGCAGGGGGTCCGATTCAACGCCGCGAAGAAGAAAGTGGGCAATTACTACTCGACTCCGATCTGGAGTTTCACCATCAAGCATAATGCGTGTGGCGGGGAGATTGAGATTCGCACGGACCCTGCTAAGACGAGGTATGTAGTTGTTAGTGGGGGGCGGGCGAGGGATGAAGGGGATTTGGGTGGTGGGGAGAGTTTGGTTAAACTGGGGGAAGGGGGGAATTTTGAGATCCAGACGGAAAAGGAAAGGCAGGAATCCAGGGATGCGGCTTTCGGAAAATTGGAGAAGACGATTGCGGACCGAGAAAGGGCGGAGGAGGCGAAGGTGAGGATTGAGGAGTTGTTGGAGGTGCAGGAAAGGACATGGGAGGATCCGTACGAGAGGAATCGGAGACTGAGAAAGGCGTTTAGGGTGGGGAGGAAGGAGAGGGAAAGAGAGGCGGAGAGGACGGAGGATCTTAAGGAGAGGATGGGGTTGGGGATTGAGTTGTTACCCAGCACTGAGGAGGATGAGAGGAGAGCGAAGTTGATTGAGTTTGGGGGTGTTCCAGATACTGCATTGCTGGGCAGGGATGATGTGGTGCAGAAGGCGTTGGCGAGGCCGCTGTTTGGGGGTGATGATAAGAACGGCAAAATGGAGAACAAAAGTGGGAAGAAGAAGGATGGGCATAAGGGGAAGCTCAAGTCGGAGATTGTTGCTTCCAAGATGCGGGAGGCGTTGGTCTCGGAAATTGTTGGGAATACTCGTGCGGCTAAGGATCCGTTTCTCGACTGGGGGAGTAGGGAGTCGACGCCCAAGCCGCGAGGAGCTTTGATACCGGGACTGAAAAGGAAACGGGCTGCTGGGGAGAAGACCCCCGATCCACCACCAGCGGAAGCAGCATCACAGACGACTGGTTCTGGCGCTGAGGATGAGGGTGCTGGACAGAAGGGAAAGGAAGAGGCCAAAAGCGATGAGGCGTCATCATCTGCGGCTCAGGCGACAGTCAGTAGCTCAACTACGCAGACGAGCAAACCCGGGCTCGTGGCTTATGATTCGGATTCAGATTGAGAGACCTTCTTTCACGGTCCACCGGTAGTCTGCGGTTACGGAGTTTGTGGCATGGGCGAAAACAGCATGGCATAATCACCACATCGAAGCGGAATACCAATTTTTTATTCCAGCCATAAATTTTACGACACCGGGCCGGCATCATATCTCACACAACTCCTCTAGACGTGCATTGATCAGGAACGTGCCATTATGCTTTGATTCTATGAGCTAGTCTAGTCAACCTGACCCAGTGTAGGTGCTGAGGGTTTCATCAACAGCCCGCATCCAAGCACCAACAACACCCGCCTCACCCACCTCTAAACACATTACCAACAACAAACAACAAACCCCTATCTCTTCTACGCAGGCGGCAAAAAAGAAGTAAACAACACCCCCTGAACCGCCGCATACATAACCATGAACACCACGATCCCCTTTCCCAGCTTCTTGTTCTTTTGTTTGTCCTGCTTGTCCCCACCTGCACCACCGATAAGTTGCTGAGCCAACCACCAGTACCACAGCGGATACCCGGACGATATCCGCGTGATGATCTGCACGTGGTACGTGCTTAGCGCGAGGACCGCGAGCAGTATCTGTTCCGCGGCTGCCGAGCGGATGAGGATTTGCATGCGTTGGTCATGAGCTGTTGTTTTGGGCTCAGGGTCTTGGTGGGTGACTATTGCTTCGGACTTGACGGGGCCTGATGATGGATCTAAAGAAGAAGTCAAACCGGAACCGCAAGCGGGTGGCGACGTGCTGTCCTTCCTGTCGGAGTTAAGCGTCACTACTGCTGTTGCGGAAGATGGAGATCGCTGACTGAGCTGGTCCAATGCCGACTTGACTAGGATGGCAAGCATCGGGGCAGCGAGTAGGAAGAGAGGGATGTTGGGTAGGGTCCAGTAGCGGAGGAAGCCGACGTTCCTGCTCACATGTTGTTCGTTAGTCACGATTAGTATTGTCCCTTTCGGTGATACGAGTATGTGACAGAAGAAGTCGGTGATATGGAAGGACTAGCAAGTAAGACGAGGCGTTCCGGTGGCCAATCGCTAGCTCGAAAAAGAGAAACCTCAAGCGAGGTTTCTTGCACCCAGTCAGAGCAACCGGAGAACATCTCTATCCAAACAAAGGAAACAAAAGAGAAGGTCAATCAGAAAAGGACTTACCAGTAATGTTTCTGCACAAACGTGTAAATGCTAGGCACCACCGCAGTGCACCACTCCCTCGCTTCTTCCTGCGCCACAAGTCCCTCTAACCCACCAGTGTCAGCACCCACACTCACGCCAGCACCAACGCCACTGCCGCCGTAGCCGCGGGCACTTCCACTACCGCCGTAGCCGCGGGCACTTCCACTACCGCTAACCCCGGATGTCCCGGATACCCCAACCCCAGAAGCGGAGGAGGTGGTCCCTGGTGACAATGACAGGAACTTGTTCAACAGCCACAAACTCCCAGAAGGGCAATACCTCAACCACGCCACAGTTTGCGGCACGATACTTCCCATCGCTACGAAGATCCCGCCTAGGCCTAGGGCGATCAATCGTCTCAGGGTCTTGAGCGGTGGGGTGCTCCCTCCTGACACAGCAAGGCCCGTGAGGAGAGTGAAAACTTCCCAAGCGAACGGTAACCCGTTTAGGATGCCGTTACTTCTGAAGAGGGTGGCTAAGCCGAAGGAGAGGCCAGCTAGGAGGAGGTTAATATCCCCTTTTAGGGTTAACCGGTTTCTGGCTTTGCCCCTTTTCCCACCCTTATTGTCCTGTTTCGGGACAGCGGCGGTACCATCTTGCTCAGCATCAGACAAACAAGACCTAGCATAGAACCACCACCCCAAAAAGGAAAACAGCGCACACGAACCCTCAGCGTAAGGGGCAGAGAGAAACAAGCCAGCGGGGGAGATGATGTGCAAAAGGGAGGTGAGGAGGGCTAGTTTCTTTGTTTGGAAAGGGGAAGAGTTGGAACCGGGGAGTGGTAGAAGGAGGGTTAGGTGGTAGAGAACAAGAGAGGCGAGGAGGTGGGAGCCGTTGGAGATGAGGAGAGCGGTGGTTGCTTCTGCGAGGGCGGTCGGAGAGGTGGTGAGGGGAAGGGGGGGGGCGAGAGTTTGGAGAGCTGTTAGGTTGTTAGTGACTGGCTTTCGTGAACTTTGGGTGGGTAAGGTGTGCGTGAGGTGAGGGTAGGTGGATGAGTGGATGAGGTGAGCGTAGATGGGCGTGATGTGAGTGAGAGGCGGAATGACAAGGGGAGACATTCTTTCCAACAAAGAGAGTATATCCCCGAACCAGCTCACTGTCACTTCCTTCCCAAGACGCCACAACCCATTGATCCTCATCCTCACTCACCCACTCATTCGTCCCATCCCAGCACCCGACCACTCATACAAATGAAAAAGGAAAAGAAAACCCACCTCTCAAAACCCCCCTCACAGCAACCACCAATCCCGTCCCAAAAGCCCACTCCTGCTCAAAGACATAATCCCTCTTGGCCGCGCTCACAAAGTAAATCGCATCCCAGCTGGTAAACCTCGTGACCAAGCGCTTGCCAAAGTTCCTCACCAGCTCTGCAGCCCCATTACCGTCAACCACAGAGAGAGGTTCGTCATCACCAATCAGCAATAAGTCGGCCGAAGTATCGTATGCGCGATCATTGACAAGGGTCGAGCCAATGGCGATAGCGAGGAGGAAAAGTTTCCAGTAGAGGAAGGACTTGAGGATTGTCCGGTGTGGGTGGGTGAGTGCTGCGGAACTTCTCCTGACTGAGGCGGAGGGAGAGGGTGTGGTGGTTGTCATGTCATTGGTTTTGGTAGGGTCAAGCAAGCCCTTTGGCCCTTGGGAAGTTTGTGAGCTTGTGAGCTTCGATAGCTTCGATAGCGGCGGAACGGCGAGGATGACCCGAAGTGGAAAGAATGTAGTCGGCAAAGGACAGCGACAAGCGACGGGAAGGCCGTGAGACGGTGGTACACGTGTATCCTGACTAGTATAGACTAACTAGCGAAGGTGTACCTGGCAGAGTGGTGGTACTGTGTCCCCTGTGTGTTGCCCGTGTGTGATGATCAAGATGGTTCGTGGCACTTTGAGAGTTTTGGAGTCAGGGGCTCTATCTGGGACTAGCCGTGGCAGATTGGCGAGTTTACCGGCGTTTCGATAGGGCTGTCCGGGAAATCTTTAACTCGTTATGGTTAAAGCTCCCTGTCTCTTCTTTTCGCCTTTGTTCTTCGCAATGCCGTTGTAGTGTATGTGCCGTGTTGTGGCGTTTTAAGTTTTCCTAATCCAATTGTGTGAACGTTGGATGGTGGTGAAAGTTAGGTTGTCACTTGCCAGCTGGTGTCACCGACGCCTGGAAGTTGCAGCGAGTGACATTGTGAAACATTCAGTGTGCGGCGTGGCAACTCAAACTTACGGTATGCGGTGCATTGCAGAGCGGTAATTGTTAACGCACCCTATGCTGTTAATAACCCGCAACGCTCGGGCCTCCGCTCTTCCCTGAACGTTTCTACGACACTGCCCGCAACCGCAATGGTGAGAGCTTCATCCCCTTTCCCCCAAGTAAACAAACTTCCTTTTTCAGTACGAGGCGGAACCTCGGGAGTAACCGGAACCAGCCGCTCCCAGGTCCCGAGTCCTAGCCTCATCGCCATATCCCATCGGAGCCGTCGTGGCGGTGAGCCAAGATCGCACGAGGCTCATCTGTCGGTAGTTGAGTGTCAACACCAGATGTCACCGATATCAGATCCTGGTAGAAGGGTGGCCTGACCTTTCCGAACGAACGATATTCGTACGAATCGCATGTGAGAATATCTAACGGTTCCGTCACCAACACCATCCACGTTGATTTCAAAGTCCAGAACATGAGCATCAAGACACAACGGCTACAAAAGGGCCGACGATGGATGGACTTTTAGTTCATGTGGTAAACTCCGCTGGGTGAGAAAACCGGACATTATACTTAAATAATGAAGTTGAAAGTATTCGGCCGGTACGAACCGTTGGCATTGGCCATGACATCACTTCTCATCAATGACCACCAGCATGTCCTGAGATGGATGGGTGAGCAAACCCCTGATGGGACAGGTATAAACCCTGGACTTTTATAATTATTCTGTCGATGTTTTGTTTTCCATTTCTTTTGGCCTCGGCAATTCCTATCAACTCCAGCTTTTTGAGCTTCGGTGCTTGATAGGAAGAGCACTCTATGGTAGAGTTCAGATATCGTAAGCGGCTTTTACACTACACTACGATGATGCCCCTCTCCCCGACCGGACCGTTTGACGATCTTCAAATCCTTTCGAATCTCGCGAATCTAGATTCCCATCAGTATCACATATCATGTCATCGCCCGCCCTATCAAAGTGGGCTCTTTTTTTCGCCATTTTTTATTTTTATTTCTGCCCTGTGGCATCATGGCATGCCAGCATGCCCAGCATTGTCTAGTGATTGCAACAGTGACATCGTCCCGTTGCTCTCACCGGGAAGCCCAACGCCAACGCCAACGCCAAAAACCAGGAGAACGGCGTGACACACCACTGCAAGCCAAAAAAAAAAAGAATTTCCACAACGGACGGAGTGAGTGTGACGGACATCGGGGTCCTTCTGGAGTCCGCTCCGAGCTCCAATGCAATGGAAGGCGTTCGTTCGTTCGTTCATTCGTTCATCCGTTCTGTTGTGCGGCCGTGCGGTCATGCGGGCGGGCAGGAGCGGGACTTCCCGACTCACAAACACGGGGCCAAAATGTCACAATGTGACTTGCAAAAACCTTCACCGCGGTGAACATTGAAGAAAATTGGTTTCCCGTTCGCAAGCGGCGTTACCAGCATTGCCAGCCATGTCGACGATCGGAAAAGATGGAATTTCTTCGATGCTTTGCATGCTTTGCAGCCGGGAAAGGAGTTAGCGTTCTGGCTCAAGCCTTTTTTTATGCGACTTGTGGATTTTGTGTATGATAGGTTTTTCGGTTGTGCTTTTATCCCACATTCCCACATCCCCATCCCAGCAGACTTCCTGTTTTCTGTTTTCAGCTCAGCTGGCCCTGCACGGCTGCACCGAACCGAACGGAGTCCGTCCCGCTGCATAGGAAGGAAAATCCACTGTGGATTCGAGGCTTTTCGGCGGCTTGGGCGGGCTGGGCGGGCTGGCCATTTCCACCGACAACTCCGCTCCGCTTCGGGTTTTGACTGTTGAATTTTTGACTCCATCGTGAAGGACTTCTTCGTAAAGTGAAGAAGAATTGGGAAAATGGCCTGAATGGGAAAATGGAGTCAAGCTGTGGAAGTGGATGTGTGGGAGTCTCCAGCAGCTGCAGGCCTGCAGCCGGAAATGCAGAACACCAGTCCGGTCCGGCGTTTCTCAACTTCTCACCGCCAAAAGTTCAGCTGGAGCTGGAGCTGAAGCCTGACAGTGGGTTGTTTGCGAGAGCGGGGTATTAATCAACGACGACAAAAACGAGGGCATCATGAGTGCGGAAGAAGAAGATGTCTTCACCAGTCGAGATAGTACTTTCTTAAGATGAGAGGGAATCCTTCACATGCGAAACAGAAGTAGGTACACTATTCATTAATAATCAGCCTTTATGAGTTTCCAGTAGTGTAGTGAACGCAAATCACTCAAGTAAGATTGGCCCAACGGAGAATTCCATAATATTGCATAACCAAGTGTGCCCCAACCGGCCGACGCCGACAACCTGGAAAGTCAGGGATAGTCTGTCCTTGTGGTAAATCATGGGAGAACAGGGTGGTCGGTGGTCGGTTGTGGAAACGGCGAACTGTTTCCCCTGGACGCCCATGGAAGAAAGGCCGTGTGCCATGGTGTCCGTATCAAAGAAATAATGTCTGATTTCGAAACCAACCTTCTCCCTTTGTGACGCCGTCTGTGTAAAAATACAACTCTCCCCGTACGATACCATCCCAACAATACGGAAAACAACTAAACATGTGGCTCTGTTACATATAACAAACGCTCCCATCGGTACAGTCCAAGCATCCAGCCTCAACCACCTCTTCATATATCGTGATGTCACCTTGAACATCTCTGTCTGGTCTACCTTCTGCTGTATTCCTTCCTGTCTTTATATATTCTCTCAACTCAGCGAGAGGGCAGAGCAACACGCATATCCCCCCCCCCCCCCCCCCCCCC